GAACTCTTCGAATGCTTCATTAAACTAAACCAAATGTTGATTTAAAACAAATAAATATTTATTCATGTCACTGTTAACTTAAAAGTATCAAATTGTAACGAATTGATACCAAAAATGTGGATCAAATAAAAAATTTATCCAAATTTTTAGCATCATCAATTTGATCCACTTTAGTATCAATCTGATACTTTAAAGAAAACTGTGCATTAAACAAAGAAACCTAAGAATAAGAATTTATATAACAAAATGAAGTTTTTGACTTAAACTTAATTTTAATTTAATAAATTTAATTTTTTTTCTGAATTTTAGTCATAAAAGTTATTAAAGTGAAGCAAAAAAAAGCCTTAAATCGGTTAAATATTGAAATCTCAAATTAAGACCTCATTGAACATCATAAAAATGATGCATTGCAACAATTTGATACACGTTTTCGGCTTCATCACAGGAAAAAAGAAGTGTTATTACAACACTAAAAGTAGTGTTAAAACTACACGCAACATTTTTAACCGACAGTGTGTAATTTTAACACTTCATTGGTGTTAAAATAACACTGGAATGTGTTTAGTTAACACTACAGGGTGTTAAATTAATATACATTTTAAATGGGGTTAAAATAACACCAAAATTGTGTTAAAACAACATCACCTAAAAACTACACGCAACAAATTTAACACATATTTTTTTCTGTGGCAATTTCAGTTTCTCGGAAAAACTGTGTCCGGAAACTGTTTCCGAAGTTTGAAATACGACGTAAAGTTTGTGAGATATTCAAGAACGCATTCATAAGTAATTAATAAACTTTCGCTTCAGAAGAAGTAAGTCGGGAAGTTTATATAAGAAAAACTAAATTCTAATTCAGTAGTTGTGTTCTCTCAATGAAGAATGAATGCAGGGACATTCTGTCAGTATATGTCCTAAATTCAGAAAGCTGAAAGATATCCCCAAAGACGGCTGGAATATCCGGATGTTGTTAGCGTAAGTGTTTTCTGAAAAGTTCACTTCTTGTAAAATTTTGAATAAGTATTTCCATTAACATTCTTAACTTCCATCTTTTTCTCGCCAAAGAGAGACTACTGCAATATATATATGTACTTGAGTCTGAAAAAGTCGGGAACTAGTTATTGACTTTGATGCGCTATCCATCATATACCAGTCTCAACCATTAAGATACTTCTTCGAATACTGTTTGCTTATATATAGATTTCTTTTAAGGAGTAGCAGTTAACATATCTCTTTCGGGTCAAAGGAAACATATAGTAACATACTGCATTTTCATTCAGACAGACGTCAATTTTTCTACAAGATTTTTATTATTTTTTTTATTTTTTAGATTCTTTAATAAAAATTGTATTTTTATATACAATTGTATAAACAATTTTTTATACAAATGGTTTGTTTATAACCATCTTTTGTATATACGACATAAGCACTCACAGTTTTTTTTAAAGTATTAATTTGACACTAAAGTGAATCAAATTGATACCAAAATAGTGTTTTTGAAAGTATCAATTTGACACTAAAGTGAATCAAATTGATACTAGAATTTAAGATCAATTTTTGATTAGTTTCAAAGTTTTCGTATCAATTCGTTGCAATTTGATATTTTTAAGTTAACAGTTAACTTATAAAAAAAAAATTGTTTTGAAAATTATTTTCATAAATATTTTTTAATTCGTCGCAGGAAATCAATTATTTTCAATAATTTTTAAATAATTCTGCAAAGGAATTCAATTATCTTGATAACCAACAAAATTCTTCCCATAAAATCAATTATTTTAAGGATTTTTAATGAAATTCTTTTTCAAAATTCAATTATTTTGATAAATATCAAAATTCTTTTCAAGAATTCAAAAAAATTGTAATTAAATTCTTGGCAAAATTTCAATTATTTAAACAAAATTTAATAAAATACTTTGCACGAATTCAATTATTTTTATAAATAGCAAAATTTTTTTCCAAAAACTCAATTATTTTCAAAAATTTAAATAAAATTCTTTGCAAAATTTCAATTATTTATAAAAGTTTTACGCAATTCAATTTTTTTTTAAATATTTACTTTTTTCATAAAATTTATCAACAGATTTAATTATAGAAAAAACTTGTTGATACAATTCTACGAAAAGATTCAATTATTTTCAACAATTTTAAATAAATTCCTTGAAAAATGCAATTATTATTAAAAATTTTATTAAAACTTGAGCAAAGAATTAAATTTTAAAGAAACTTTCAATTATTCAATAAAACAATAAAATTCGTTGCAATAATTGAAATATTTTCATAAATAACATTTAATTCGTCGCAGAAAATTAATTATTTTTAATAATTTTTAAATAATTCTGCAAAAGAATTCAATTAGATTAATAATCAATTAATGAAATTCTATTTCCAAAATTCAATTATTTTGATAAATAGGTATTAAAATTCTTCTCAAGAATTCAATTATTGTCAAAAATTTTAATTTTAAATTCTTAGCAAAATTTGAATTATTTAAACAAAATTTAATAAAATACTTTGCATGAATTCAATTATTTTTATAAATTTTAATGAATATCTCGTCAAGAATTCAATTATTTTTATAAATAGCAAAATTTTTTGACAAAAATTCAATTATTTTCAAAAATTTAAATGAAATTCTTTGTAAAATTTCAATTATTTCTAAAAGTTTTTTGCAATTCAATTTTTTTTTAAATATTTACTATTTTCATAAAATTTATCAACAAATTTAATTATAGAAAAAACTTGTTAATACAATTCTACGAAAAGATTTAATTATTTTCATAAATAATAAAATTTCATTTACGAATTCAATTATTTTCATCGCAGAATTTCAAATATTTTTAATACAATTTTAAATAAATTCCTTGAAAAATGCAATAATTATTAAAATTTTTATTAAAACTTGAGGAAAGAATTCAATTTTAAGAAACATTTAATTTTTCAATAAAACAATAAAATTCGTTGCAATAATTCAAATATTTTTAAAAATAACATTATTTTAATTCGTCGCAGAAAATTAATTATTTTCAAAAATTTTTAAGTAATTTTGTAAAAGAATTCAATTAAATTATCTTTATGAATAGATAGGGAAATTCTTCTCAAGAATTAAATTATTGTCAAAAATTTTTTAAAAATTCTTCTGAAGTCAATTATTTTCAAAAATTTTAATAAAATTCTTCTCACGAATTCAATTGTTTTTAAAAATTATTATTTAAATTCATCTCAGGAATTCAATTAATTTTAAAAAATTTAATAAAATTCTTCAAAAAGTTTTCAATTATTTTCAAAAATTGTTATAAAATTCTTTAATATAATAAATATCATTAAAATTACAATTAAATTCCTTAAAAGAAATTAAATATTTTCAAAAGTTGTTAATACAATTCTTCGTAAAAATTAAATTTTAAGAAACATTCAATATTATTTATTTTTGTATTTAAATAATTGATTTCTCGTAGAATTAAATTATTGTTTTTCGTACTTTTAACTAACAATTCTGTAGAATTAATTTTTTTTTGAAAAAGTTTAATTGCATAATAATTGATGTTATTGATTTAAAGTAGAATTTTAGTTCAAAAATTTTAGAAAATGTTAATTGAATTGAAATGATACAAATAATTTTGAAGATGTTACAGTAACAGAAAAAGTCAAAGTTGTGTTTGGAAATCAGGAAAAGTCAGGGAAAAATAAAGTTAAATTTTTATGGCAACCCTGTATAAATAAATTATCTTTTTCTCTTTATTTAACCAATTTTTATGGTCCCCCAAAAGTCCCCTATTTTTGAATTTTCAGTCCCCTATTTCCCCTAAAATACTTTTTAGGAGCACTGTGAAGCTTGTAATATATAAATTTTCAAGTTTTTAAATATTTTTCTCGTTAGCCAAGGTTCACTAGATTTTGACCATATAGTTAAAATATAAAAATTTTAGGGTTTTAAACTATTTCTGCCTTTGCCCATGATAAGCTAATATATTTTAGACTTAAGCTAAAAATTAAAAAAAAATCATGTTTAAAAATATTGGTTTTTTCCATGATTTTTTAGATTTCGTCCATATAGTTAAAAATTGACAATTTTTCATACCTAAAAATATTTTTGTCTTATATTTATATTCTTTTCGCTGTGAAAATTTAACTAATGATACTATAAATACTTTATAGCCAACATCGAATGGTTAAAGTTTAATCACCTGTTTGTTAAATTTTAGAGTAAAATAGTTCTTTCCCTCTTTTCACGCATTTCTATACGGACCTCAAATTGAGACCACAAACTGTATCGAATTGCTACGATACAACGCTTTGATGCAGTTAATGATCTTAATTTGAAAACGTTAGAAAAACTTCTATAGAAAAAAATAATTTAATTACTATATTTTAGAGAATAAACCATTTTTTACAGAAAATTTTTCAATTTCAATTTTTCAATTTCAATTTTTCAATTGAAAAATTTTCAATTAATTACCAACGGTATTACTGTAATAATATTACTTTCGAAAAGACATTTTAATATTAGAGTAACTCTACAGTGTTACATGGTTCTCATTTACATATAGGCTATACTCACAAGCCCCGCGTCCGGTTAATTGAATGTGACAATCAATTTTCGAATATTGTGACAACTCGGTAGTCACAAACAATACCATTTTTTCCACCCTCATGAAAATTTACTTCATTTTACCCCTATATATATATACTCATTTAGTATGTGAATTCGAGTTGAAAAAAAATGTGTCCATCAAGGAGTTAAGAAAAATGAAAAGATGGCGGAATGTAATACCGCGTACAAAGAACATTCGTATGGTGTTTGGGTTTTAAATCCGCACTCAAAAGGGCCGAGTGCCACGATGGCTATAAGGCACTACAAGGGCAAAAAAGCTTTGGGGGTTGGAGAGAAAATATATAGGGACGAGGGTTCGAGCTGTGAAGGGTCTCGGAGCGCAGAGAACAGCGAGTGGGAGAGAACGATGGTAGAAGGGGAATCGAACAGAAACCAGTCGTATCCCGGCCTCAGGTCGCATTGCCTGCGCGTTGGGTGTTCAGTCTATAGGCAAGAGCCGTACGGTACGGTTAGCCTTTTTTTTCGCCACGGTTTCTGTAAATTATTTACAAGGGAGGAAAATCTCACGAGAGTTAAAACACACCCTTTGGAACAAAAATCCGTAAAAGATTTCCATTTCTCTAAAGATCCCCAAAAGATCCCTAAATATCCCTGAAGATTGATATTGGAATTGTATTCCCTTTGGAATAATTGGGACAGTGGTCCATAACTGTTGGAACGTTTGTTTATAAGTGATTTTTGGAATAGTTAACACTCATCTCTTGGATTATTATAAGTGTTCAAAAGTGTGGTATCTTCACGTGTTTTTGAATCTTCAGATGAATCAGATTTTTGAAGGAATAGTTCACTGATTCGTGAGGACACGTACAAGAAAGGATACGAAGTGAAATTTAAATTGGACGCTTGTCCAACACGAGGGACAAGCGCATAGTGAAGTGAGTGACAGAGTGAGTGCTTGTCAGTACTGTGTGTTTCGAGGTTCATTTGCTTAAAGAAACATTAGTGCTCTTGGAGACGTTAACCCTGGATCACATTAAAAGTGCCGGCTAACTTAAAAGCGTCGCGTCGCGAGTGGTAAGTTTTTTTTTGATAGTTTTTTTCCTTCCCGAAAGATAAGCAAGCAGACCTTTTAGGATCCACTAGTTTCTGACAAAATGCTTTACTGTTTCAATACTTTTTCTAAACCTTCCTAAATACTTTTCCTAGGTTTGAATCATCTTTTCTTCAGTGCAACTATTTTTTCCTATAAATCGCAAACAAACTTCATTATTTCTGGTATAGATTCCGTCATTTTTGACAACTGCGATCTATACTTTTACTGTTTCGATACTTTTCCTAAACTTGTTTGTTTCGAATCAGCTTTCTTCAGTGAAGTGAAGAAATATAACAATCGTAAACAAACTGATGATTCTTCCATCATTTTGATTTTTGACAAATAAAGTTTAATACTTTTCCTAAACTTGTTGGTTTGAATCATCTTTCTTCAGTGAGGTTGAAGAAATATAAGAATCGTAAACAAAATTCTTCATGGAGAATTTAGGTATAGATTCTAAAAGAATCAAACTTATTGGTTTGAATCATCGTTCTTCAGTGAAGTGAAGAAACGTAACAAGTATTTTGCTTGTTAGATTCACTAATGATTCACTAAGAAGAATTTAGATCACAGGCATAGATTCCATCATTTGGCGAATTGTTCGGGAAAAAAACATTGCATGTCAGTTTATCTATAAAGATACTGTCATAGAGCAGCAACAAAGCACATTTGCACGCACTATTTAGCTAGCTATTTAGTGAATGATTAATGTATTTTTCCCTTCTTATCTATAAATAACAAGTCGACTATAAATCTCTTCCTGGAATAGTGTGTATAAAGTAAACATCTAATTTTATGGAAACTGTTTACTATTTTTATGTATTTTTTATGTACCTCGGTGCATGTGTAGCTACAGAACATACATTATGAGTACCTACATTGTACAGCGAATGTTTCGCTTCTTTTAAAAGTCAGATTCATCGGGGGCCCACTTTACTATTCTGAAATGCACCCGGCGTTTCGGAAATGTTCATAAAACATCTCTCGAGGTCACAGAATGTCCCTCTTGCTATGAAGTTTTCCCTTCCTTCGACCGCAGTGTTTGAAAGTCAGTGGTTGAGACTGACAACACTGCCGGCCTTTTCTTCTGCCTTGGGCTAAGAATTGGGTGAAAAGGTATTGAGACTTCCAAGCGTCTCTTTTCAAAAAAATAAAAAAAAAAAACCTTCAACTCGTGGAGATCGTAAACAAGCTAAAATTGCATAGCCGACAGCGAATCTATTATCCGAATAATGGGGGATATGCACCGTTCGGACGTTACTCGCATCGAACGATTACAAGTATATGTTTTTTTTACCCGCTTCAAAAGCTTTTTTGTTCGGTCAATAAAAAAAAAATTTTCCAGCTCTGGACTCTAGCTGTCATACTCAATTATTGATCACTCATTATTTCTTATATTCCATGGCGTAATAATTATGCAAACAAATTGACAGTTCAAACTTCCGTAAAGTGGCAACGTCAATTTCAGCTCTTTTTTTTGTAAATTATTCCACAAACCCAACCTGTCAATTCACGTTAAGTGACAGGGGAAAAATTTCGTAAAATTGAAAATTTTTGTTCGATGTATCATAGTAAAAATACTTCTTCTTTTTTTTAAGTTGTCAATTTATTTTTTTATATAGACAAAATAATTGATATTCGAAGAGGCACTTCTTCGTTTCTTACTTTCTTCTTTCCTCTTCATCATGATCGATGCCTTATTTTCGCAACAGGTAGACACGACTATTATTCTTGTTCCAAGTTATAATCATGTTTGTGCCTCATACTTTATATATAAGAAGTGGAATGAAACAAATGACTACATGACCATTAGCTAACGTAACATTTATTGATTTGATTAGTCGCCCGTCTGAGGAATTTCCTGTTCAACAAATATTTAATTCTTCAAAACGACAACTGTTGTTTATTTCTAACTTGAAAATATAGTATTCCTCAAAATTGGATAGTGAATTTAAGAAAAGGAATATTTGTCACTGGCATTGAAGAAAGCTGTACGAGAAACAACTAATGTTTGATTTTTATGAAAAGTTTGTTTAATTTAGTTATTTTAGTCGTGTCCATGCTTTGCCAGACAGTTTAATGGTTAATGATTTTTTTATTAGAAATAAAAGACAAGAAAGTAAAAATCAGTTTAGAAAAGTCAGCTAAATTTCCTCTCATCCTTGCTGTACAATATAAAACTTCAATTCTGACATGTCAGAACAAAAAGACAACATGTTAAAATATAATCATCAAAAAAAGATTTACATGAATATTCAAACCTAAAACGAAAATAAAAGAAAAAACTGTTACCTCTTTGAAAATAGAGTGTAAATATAGATATTTAAAAAAACTGACGTTGTTACATGTCAAAACTAAAAAAAAGAATAAATTTCGTAAAGAATAAATATATTAGAAACCTTTGAGCATTTCACGCTATATAAGAATAAATAATTTGATAAAAAAAATGGTTTAAAAGCAGTTTGCTCTGTGATAATGCTTTTAATCTCTTTTTAATTTATCAGGGAATTAATATTTGATCGATGGGACGTCGAACGAAACCGCGCTAATTCCTTATAGTAGACTTCATGTCATCGTCATGAAAGCGTATTTATATTCTGAAGAGAGCACAGAAATAAGGTAAAAAAAAAACAGAGAAAAAGAATGAAAAAAATTTTTTTTCAAAAAACGTGGGTTGATGTGAGCTTTATAGCTCAGTGATTTCGATCGAAATCTTGCTCGCGAGACGAATAACGATGAATAATAATTGTCTGATATTATCGTAATATGTGCGTGCAATCGGAACGGTCGCGAAGTCATTCCCGGATGAAAACCGGTAAATCAGGTTGCCTGATATCGTTGGAATCGATTAGACGATTCACGAGTGCGCTTGTAAATATACTTCCATGGAAAAGTATATCAGCAACGAGACATATAACGTTGAATCGGTATATTAAGTTTTCATACATGTTCAATTTATTTTCGAATTTTCAAATTGTAATAATAATGGAATTTTTCATTATTCAATAAAATTTATTTTTAAATCCCGTTTTTTTCTGCTTTTTCTAAATGTAAAATATTCGAAAATCAATTATTTGCAATATAGAGTATTTTCAGAATATTTCGCAAAAGAATTCAATTATTTAAAAGTAAAAGACAAAATTCATCAAAAATTCAATTATTTTCATAAATTATAAAATTTCCAAGATAATTCAATTTAATTTAGAATAGCATTTACAAAAAAAATTTCGAAAAAATTAATTATCTAAAACAATAAAATTTTTACAAAGAATTCAATTTATAAAAAAAAAAATTTTTTTCACAGAAATTCAATTCTTTTTAAACATTTTAATAATATTTTTGTCAATAATTCAATTATTTTCAAAAATAATAAAATTATTCTCAGAAATTCAATTCTTTTTTAAAATTTTAATAAAATTCTCAGCAACTATTCAATTATTTTCATAAATAATAAAATTCATAGCAGGAATTCAATTATTTTTAGAAATTTTAATCAATTTCTTCCTAAAAATTCAATTCTTTTTAGAAATTTTATTAAATTTCTTCCCAAGAATTCAATTATTCAATTATTTTCTTAAGTAAAAAAATTCTTGTCAGGAATTCAATTATTTAGAAAAATATTAGAATTTTTCCCAGGAATTCAATTATTTTCAAGTATTTTAATAAAATATTGTTCGAAAGAAATGAATTATTTTAAGTACAATTTAAATTAATTTTTTTAAAAATAATTCAATTATTTACTTAAATAATTCTTCGAAAGAATTCAATTATTTACATAAATAATTCGTCTAAAGAATTCAATTACGTCGATAAATAACAAAATTATTGCCGAAAATTCAATTATTTTGAGGCATTTTAATAAAATTCTTTGCAAAATTCAATTATTTTCATAAATAACAATATTCATCACCAGAATTCAATTATTTTCAAAAGTAATAAATTTCTTCTTAGAAATTCAATTATTTTGAAAAACTCTAAGAAAATCGTTCGCAAGAGTTCAATTTTTTTCATAAATAATAAAATGCTTTTTAGGAATTCAATTATTTTTAAAGAAATTGAATAAAATATCATACAGCCATTTAATTGTTGTAAAAAATTTTAATAGAATTTTTTGTAAAATTTGGATTAATTTTTAAAAACTTTTCGCAATTCAATGATTTTTAATATTTTCTATTTTTATAAAATTTCCAAACAGAATTCAATTATTTAAAAAAATTTTTTTAAAATCTTCGTAAGAATTCAATTCTTTTCATGAATTTAATAAGAATTTCTCAGGAATTGAATTATTTAAATTAGAATTTGCATGAAATTTGTCAAAAGAAATCAATTATTTAAAAAATTTATAAAATTCTACGAAAGAATTAAATTATTTTTATAAATATTTAAATTCTTTCATGAATAATAAAATTCGTACCAGTAATTCAATTTATTTGCGTATAGGATAAGAAAGAAGTAAATATTTTTCATGAAAATTAGGAAAAAGTCGGGAAAATAAAATATAGAATGGAAATTTTTGTCAGTTTTGTGAAGTTTTTTTGGTCGTCAAGTTTAATTTTTGGATAGCTATACTTTTTTACTACTTTTTTTAGTTTGAAAGCTACTTTTTGCTACATTTTTAAAATTAATTTTCGAGTGCGAAGTTTGTAAACTTTTTTTTCAGTCAACTCGGGCTGAGTATTTTATTAAACCAAAATTCTAAATTCCATGAACAGTTTTTTTTTCAACTATATATAGTTATGTTCTGGACATCCTGAAAATTTTCTGTAAGAACTTTTTAATCTGAATTATGAAAACTTAAAGTTAGTAAGTATACAATAATACCCCTGTAGTTGGGGCTATTATGGTACAAACTTTGTTTTTGTTCATATAAAATAAACATGAAAAATTTGTTTGTTCAAAAACTTGATTTACGAGAAAGGGGTGAAAAATATTTAATGATTTTTGTAACTTTTACTATACTTTTACTTTTACTATTTTTTTT